TTGTTTCACCCAAGGCTTTTGCCCGCGCAATTGATTATTCGTTATTTTCATAAATATGACTTGAGTTTTACAAATTTAAACCTTTTTTTTCATCTCCAGCTCAGCTTTAAAGCAAATTCTTCAGTGGGGCTTAATTCTGCCCGTAGTAAGTACGTGCGCAGCAGTTGTGGCAGGATTGGATGTAATCAACACTCATGCAAGTCACCTACAATGGACATGCTGGCCCCTGTCGACTCTGGTACAAATTCAGCTCCATGTAACACTGTCTGCATCTCTCCTACCACTAGTTCTGGTGCCATCACCTATGCGTCCAGTACAGACACACTAATCCGTGCTCTGATAATAGGGTTATGCGCTGTATCGGCCGATAGCCAAGTAAGCCAGATCTGCTCAGCAGTCGCAATGCAGCTGATAACTCAGGAGATTGCTTCGCTAACTCTTTTTCCTGCCATGCTTCGAGCTACCATCATTAGCACGTCGATACGCACTAGGTATATACTGATAGCCATATATATATATATATATATATCCAATATTTTATTTTTAAATCAAATATGTAAAGCCAAACTAACTCATTTGCTTTTGGTGTCTGGACGCAGGCAGAAGAAAAAAATTAATTCGCTCACTTTAACAAGCCTCTATAATCTACATATAGAAGATTTCGGTAGCCCCAGCGACCTCGCTGCCGTGATATTGCATTTTTGATTGCCATTAGTGGGATGGCTATTTTATAATTCTGCATAATAATAAACTAGTGCTTAAAATAAGTCGTCGCTTCATTAGGCTCATCTTTGATCTTTATAAAGAGATTATTCATTTTGTTTTTTTGCTATATTACAAAGGTCGCTCAATCAACTGCTAGATTGGAGTACATCACGGCAGTGCAAGTACCACGACGTTGGGATCCTCATCCTTCATGAAGTTTAGTAAACGCAATACATTTTGATATGTAGAACCAATGCATAAGAGGATAATAATAATCTATAAGAGCATATGATCAATCCCTTTAAATATCGTTTAAACTTTACACCATCGTTTGTAGTCCAGAAACAAAGGCACGAAATTTACCCCTAGAATTCACAGCCGCTAACTTACAAGGCTATTGTGGGAGGCTTGCCCCTGAGCTAAGGCACCCTTTTCTATAGAGTGATGTGTTTATTTTAAACTAGCATTTCCTCGATTCGTATCCCCTTACAAGTATGGCTTAAACCCAGGCTACGTGGATACTGCATGGCTTATATGTAACACACAAAATCAGGCACTATTTTATCAATTACGTTTTACTTAACTGTCGGTTACTATGATATTAACCTATAAGTGATGTACCTTCGCTCATAAACGCGATTCACATATTTATTTGATTTCGCTTCTTCGTTATACAGGATGATGACGTCTCAATATGCTTGCTATCTTTCTTAGTTTTATTTATTCGGTTTTATCACAAGTTTTGCAACTTTACAGGTAAACTAGCTAATTTATCCATCCCGACTATTTAGCTAGAAATCGACATCTAATCTTTAGCTTGGTATTTTCATATACATCTTACAGCTATTTTGATTGACTTCACTAATTAAGCTTATACCCTTACGATGTCTATACTGATCACGTTGGCGAACTGTTTGGGAGTATACCGAGCTAATAAATTGTTGAAAAGAACACACGAGTATAATGAGATTAGCATTGGCTAAATTAAGAGACAAATCAAGCTAAATAAGTGTAGATATGAAACTCAAGATGTTGTGGCCTTTATTTTGGTCGCATCTTAGTCTTCACACGTAACTTTGACTTACGGTAGTAAGATTGCCATAATACAGCAGGACAAATAAGATTATTGTAAATTATTAATGTCATCTGACC